AAACTTCTGATTCTGGCTACATTGTGATAAAGAAAGTACTCATACATTGCTGCTAGCAATGTAAAATATTAATATTCTTTTAGAAAGCAATTTGGCAATTTGTATCAATGATCATAGAAATATTCAGTGTTTGACTCAGAAATATTCCTCTTGTATTTTTATCCCAAAGAAATACGTACTTCAAAAGAAGTATATATAATGTCCATTATAGCATTATAATTGCATTGCAGCATTACTTACAATAATGAAATATTAGAAATTATCTAAATGTAAAATTAAATACAAGTAGATGAATGGCTAAGAAAACAATACTGGCCTGATCAAACAGAAGATATTAAATAAAATTTTAAAGCAACATAGAAGATGCTTATAAGATTTCAGAGCAACATAGAATATGCTTACAATATAATAAAGAATAGTATCACATTTTTACTATACTCTAATTAAAATTATGTTACCTACACACAAAGTGATTCAAACAAAAAATGTGTATTGAAGATACTTTAAACATTCAGCATGCTGGGATTTTAGGAGAGCATGTTTTTCATTTTTCTGATAACTACTACTAGCATTTACTGAATGCTTACTATGTGCCAGATGCTGGACTATGGACATTACATATATTAATGTATTTAAATGCATGGGGTAGGTTATGACACATAAATGGCAGAGCTAATAGTTGAATTTGGCAATCTAGCTTTAATCTTGATCTTAATTACAATGCTACATCATAAAAACAAATTAAGAAAAGTTAGGGGAAAAACTGAATTTCCCTCAACTTATGAGAGTCATGTTTCAAAAGGTGAAGTGCGGATATCATATATGAATGGAACATCATTGGTAATCTCAAACTACCATCCCTTAAAAATTGGTAACTACTCATGCCTGTAATCCCAGAACTTTGGGAGGCCGAGGCAGGAGGATCACCTGAGGTCAGGAGTTCAAGTCCAGGCTGGCCAACACGGTGAAATCCCGTCTCTACTAAAAATACAAACATTAGCTGGGCATGGTAGCACACGCCTGTAATCCCAGCTACTTGGGAGGCTGAGGCAGAAGAACTGCTTGAACCCGGGAGGCGGAAATTGCAGTGAGTCACGATCATGCCACTGCACTCTAGCCTGGACACCAAGAGAAAAACTCCGTCTCAAAAAAAAAAAAAAAAAAAAATTGGTAACTAACCTGTCAATCTTGCCTTGATGTTAAAGTAAGCTGAGTTTGAACAGACTGTGAGTAATGGAAAAATACTTTCATATCATCACAGAATGCTAAGGCTGGACAAAAGAGCTTGGAGGTTATCAGGTCTCTTTGCCTCTTCTGAGAAATAGAACCAAGGTCTATAATCAGTAAGAGACTGCCTCAGGGTCATTCAGCTCGTTAAGGTAACCAAAGCCAGTTCTGAATTCCAAGTTTCTTGATAACAATCCAGTGATATTTCTTCCTACACCATTTTACTCACTTCCCTCATAAAAAAGCTATCTATATATCTATTACGTTTTAAGTGCACACTCAATGCCAAGCACCACACTTGCACGTTTTAGTTAAACTAATTTAATCTTTACAACAGTCTTTTTTTTTTTTTTGAGACAGAATCTTGCTCTGTTGCCGAGGCTGGAGTGCAGTGGCACGATTCTCAGCTCACTGCAACCTTTCCCTCCAGGGTTCAAGTGATTCTAGTGCCTCAGCTTCCCTACTAGTCAGGACTACAGCTGTGCGCCATCACGCCCGGCTAATTTTCTTTACAACAGTCTCGTGTGGTATTTATTATAATCACTTAAAGGCAAGAAGACTGACGCTCAGAAGGGTTTAGCATGCTGCCCAAGACCACACAGCTGTAAAGAGTGGTATCCAGGGCCAGGTGCGGTGGCTCATGGCTGTAATTCTAGCACTTAGAGAGGAAGGTGGGCGGATCATGAGGCCACGAGATCGAGGCCAGCCTGACCAATACGGTGAAACCCTGTCTCTACTAAAAATACAAAAAAATTAGCCAGGCGTGGTGGCACGCACCTGTAGTCCCAGCTACTTGGGAGGGTGAGGCATGAGACATGAGAATTGCTTGAATTGGGAGGTGGAGGTTGCAGTGAGTTGAGATCACACCACTGCACTCCAGCATGGGCGACAGAGAGAGACTCTGTCTCAAGAAAAAAAAAAGAGTGGTGTCCAGGGCTAATTTCTCCGGTGTTAAAGTGCAGGATCTGGGGACAAAGTGCTTCTACATACAGGGTGCTCTGGTTATTGAGGTTCCCTGCCCATGCTACCAGAGGTTCATGTCGAGAGAAGGGTCTGATCTTGCTCAGGAGGAGGTGGTTGTCTCAGTAAGTTAGAAAGAATCAAGTAAATTCTACCTCCTGGTGTGAAAAAGGTTTCCAAGTTTGTGTAGATCCTGTGACTGCGCTTTCATTTTCAGAGAGAGAAACTGAGTAAAGAAGAAAAATGGAATGATGTTTATATTCTCTGACAAGTGTGCTTTCTAATGTGCTAATGGCTCACAAAATAACGGTTCCTGACACTTGAGAAACACGTTTCTTTTCATGACATTTTCTTCCTCACATTACTGTTCCCTGTCTTTAGCCTCAAACCTTACATTCTGTAGCTAAAGCACTTTAACTGCAAAGAGGCTTTAATCCCCTCTCTCCAGTTAGGGAGTCTCCTAAGGAGTCTCCTTGTTTTCCAGGTCTCCACTGGAAAATTTCACAGAAGGGCAGAGAATCTTCCAAAGCAAAGCTGTTGCTGCCTTATAACATTTACCCCTTCTTTCTTGAAAACACACCCCAGGCTATCTTTCCAGCTTGCTTTTTCCCCACCTGAGTCCCTCACGCCCACTGTAACTAATCTGGGCTTTTCCTCCTCTGGGCTTTGGCTCACGCTGGTCCCTATATCTGGAATCCTTTCCTTTTTCATCTTTGGCCGCCTCGATTCTGTCCATTCTTTTTTGTTTTTTTGAGGCACAGTCTCACTCTGTGGCCCAGGTTGGAGTGCAGTGGCACGATCACGGCTCACTGCAGCCTTGACCTCTTGGATTTGAGCGATCCTCCTCAGTCCCTGAGTAGCTGGGATAACAGGTGTGAGCTACTGTGACCGGCTAATTAAATTTTTCATTTTTTGTGGAGACAAGGTCTTGCTCTGTTGCCTAGGCTGGTCTCTAACTCTTGCGATCAAACAATCTTCCCTCCTTGGCCTCCCAAAGTGCTAGGATTACAGGTGTGAGCCACTCTACTGGGCCTGTCTATTTTTTAAGGCCCATCTGAAACATAATCTCCCTTGCCTTTTCTTTTTCTCAACCAGATATCCCTTCCTTGTCCAACACTGGGTATTCAACTGGGTGTAACTTTTATAAGAGTTGACATTTGGATCTGTACCGCAGATATCTGTGCACCCAAACTGTCAATGACCATGATCAACTACGTGTTACTGACCTTTGTGTTACAGGTAGCACCTAGAACAGACGTTCGTATTGTCAATTATGAAAAACAAAAGTCTAAAAGTGCTTCACAATTTTCTGTCAGTTGAAGAACTGGTCAAAGAAATCCAGAGGCTTTTTTTTTTTTTGTAAAGTACAGCTTCTTAATAGGGCACTTGATTTTCTAGGTGTGGACACAACAGTTGATAGACATCTACTAGGTCAAGAAAGGTATGCCTGGATTAGGTAAATGACAGACTCAAAAGAGAGGCCAGGAAAAGGCTAAAAAACAATCTGAAGGCATCTGCGGTATCCTTTTGTTTATATCTTGATTTTTAGTTTTGTACAGGGGAACACAGGAAGCTCTGAGGCTTTAAAACTAGAAACTTTGCAATTTAATCAAATGAAAAATTTTGAATGCTGTGCTGCAAATCTGATTAAATAGGACTAGTAATTCACTTCCAAACAAAATAAACACCAAACTCAGAAAATTTAGCTCCTTTTAACAACAACAACAAAAAATCTGGTAATGTTATTTTTCCGAAATTCTAAAGCTAATCAGAGAAGCCTGCCCCCTCACATAAACATTTTTTCATATACCTTTATGAAACCTTCTGAGATAACACTACTACAGAGATGAATAATGAATTCACAGACCCTAGCTGTAACTACGTCATTGTTTACTTGGTGACTTTTTTTTTTTTTAAATCGGGGAGAGGGGTAAAATGGGGAGGATGAGAGAAAATCAGTTTAAATTGTATTCAAATACATTTACACGATTAACACCACAACTCAAGGAATTTTTTTTCTTACAGACCTGTAGCACTTGTTGGTAGGAGAACAATGAAATGAACCGATAGTTTGAACAAAGGCAACAGGCACCTACAGCCTTTCAATCACTTAGCAAATATTTCCGCCAAGACAGGGCCGAATTCGGGGATCTAGGCGAGCAGCCGGGTGTCACCTTTCTCGGTAAGCTGCAAATCTTGGGACAATTAGGACCCTTCCCAGGGATCCTGGACTGGGAGCGGTCTCGGGTTTTTAGACAAATCTCTCCTCCTACCACACGTGACCGAATGGCAATCAGCCGCCAAGAGAGACACCGCAACGCATCAGCCGCGGGATACAAAGGCTCGGCACTGCCACCGCATCCTCGGGAGGATCGCGGAGCCTCCCGCGCTCGGCGTCTGCGGAGCCTGCGCAGGGAGCAGCTGCGAGGCGCGCCGCTCCCGGGCCCGCAGGGCGGTGCCGCGCTGCGCGGGGAGCAGAAGCGGGGAGCGCGCGCCGCCTGCCCTGAGCGCCTGCCCACCCAGCGCCGCCGGAGCAGGGGCGCCGCGCCGCACGCAGCCGAGCAGCGCCACAGCTGCCGCCGCCGTCGCAGCCGCAGTCGCCGCAGCTAGGCCCTCGGCAGCCGCAGGGAGCCCCGCAGCGACGTGGACCAAGGTGAGGAGGCCGAGGGCTCCCCCGGCCCCACGGCAGGCCCCAGGCCGGGCCACCCCGTCCCCGCCCAGGCCCAGGCCTTCCCTTTCCTCTCGGCTCCTTCCCCTTCCCACAGCTCCCCTGGGCCTCGCGCCGGCTGCAGGGCGCCGTGAGCGGCACTTACACCACAGCTCTGGAGATCATCCAGGACACCATCTTCACGGGGGCTTGGGCCCCACGTCCGGGACGGGTGGACGCAGAGCGCTGCGGACCAGGCCGCCAACGGCAGGCCGCGCGCTTCGCCGGCTCCTCGCGCTCCCCGGGGCCGCGCTGGCGCCCTCGGGAGCCGGGCCCGGTGTGTGCGCGCGGCGGCCTGGGCTGCGAGGCGGTCGGTCCCCCGCCCGTCCCCGCCCGTCCCCGCCCGCCCCGCCCCCGCCCGCCGGCCTGGCCGCCGAGCCGGCCAGCCCCGCCCCTGCGCTCCGCTGATAGGCGGCGGCGGCGGCGCGTTGGCCCAGGCCAGGGCCGGGGCCAGGCGGCCGGGCTCCGGGGCTGGACCGGCAGGACCGTAGCCTGTGCTGGACGGCCTCGCGGCCGCGGCCTTGGCCCTTGCGCTCTAACCAACCTTACCCTCCTCCTTAGCTCTTTGGGACGCCCACCTCGCGGCAAGAGTGCGGCAGGAGGCTGAGGAAGGGTACTGGAGGGCAGGGATTGGCAGCGCCTGTGTGAAAAGTGAGATATTCGCAGGAACTCGGTGTCCAATAAAAGACTCTCGACCAGGCCCTGGTTTTGGAGAGCCAAGACTTTGAGGTGTGCCTGGCCACATCCGGTACCCTCAGTGTTTACGGAGGCCCAGCACCAAAGGCGTCCTTATAGTACTGCATTTTAAGGGAAATGTCGAGAGGTTCTTGCATAGGCCTCCTTGTGTGCCGCGAGTCTCGTGGTGCAAGGCAGGGAGGGACAGAGGAGGATTTCATGTTTGCGGTGGTGAGTGTAGTGATACCACTGTTCTGGGCCTCTTAGGGCACCTTTTCATTAGAGCATCTGCGAAGACTTTTACAGACACAAATCTCCATTATTTCCCTGAGGCCTGCCAGATGTTCAAAGTAAGGGCTGGGTCTAGGATTCCTGACCTGTCTTAAGATTTACAACTGTATTACAGCTATAAGATTTACAACTGTATTTTTTGGAGGTTGGGTTACTGCTTACCCTTGCTGTTCTTGCAAATATCATTTCAAGGGTAGACTTTTAAAACTTTTTTTTTTTTTTTGTGACAGTACCAAATTGAGAAAATGATCTTAAAGTTTAGATATTTTTCTTTTTTCCAATTAAGACGATAGTAAAAGATAATTCTAGTATTCAGATGGTGTGAAGAATAAAAGATGAAATGTAGGCTTGGAGCCTTTAATTAAAGTCCTAAAAAATATGATGGCTTTTGTGACCATACTATAATTTTGTCTTCTTGTTCCTCAGTTTCCCTGTGATAAAAAGGGGATAATAATACTGTAGTCTGTCTCTTGCCTTTCGGGGATGATGTGAGGCACTGCTAAATAATATGTTTAGGAAATAATGTGACTTGCGTGGAAGACAATCAAAGGACACAACAGATTATCCTAAATTTCTTTCAGTTCTCAGTCAATAAATTGGGTAATTTATTTAATAAATAAATTTTTTATTATTATAATAATAAATTTATTTATTGGGTAATTTATTTAATAAATAATAAATCATTATTTAAGAAACAAGCTCAGAACTTTCTACTGTTGGGTTAGGTTCTTTTTGCTTATTCATGTCAAGACTATTTTTATTTCAGGAAGTTTAGTAGTAATTTGCATTTACTCTGAATCTTTTATTTTTGGTCATTATTCAGCGTTGAGGATCAGGTGTGCTGCATAAGCACCAGCGTGTTGGCGAACTCTCTTGTTCAATAAAACTGAAATGAATTTGAATATCATTCATATCCCTTCACGAACAGGTCCTGAAATAGCTTTACAGCCTTTACTTTCACTACCTTCACCCCCAACTCCTAATGTACCCTTTCCCTACCTCTCTTCTCTGAACCAGTCTGTATTTTCATGCTCAGTGCTTTTGCCCAGATTTTGTTTTTCCCTTAACACTTTGCTCCCCATTCTGTACCTATCAGAACCCTCATTTTTCAGTGGCCTATGCCATGAAGACGTCCTTGTTTTTCCTCAGGGACAATTATTCCTAATTTTGTCTGTGCCCCCATAATTTATTACTTGAATTTCTATTTCTTATCTGTGTCATTCTGCCTCTACCATGTCTAATATACTGAATGGCAAAATGTTTGAGAACAGACGTGGTGTACTGGATTTCTTTGTGTTTTCCAACTATCTAGCCTAAGATAGAGTAAATGCCCAATAAAAATTTGAATAATATTTGTGAAATACAGTCACTAAGCATCAGATTTAAAAAAAAAATTCAGCCACGTACATTGGAAGTCCCTTTAAAATGTATGCCTTTCTTGCCTTTTTACTTTGGAGATCATCATTGTGAATATTAATTATTTCAGCTAATCCTAGCACATTAATGCCTTCAGGGGTTGCTGAGATAGGTAGGACTGCTGGCTGCTCTCTGAAATGTCCCTAGACTGCTGTGCGTTGAATTTTATTTTGTATGCTTATTATATCTTCTGCCTCTTACACATTTAGGTTACTTTTTGCTGCTTGCTTTCTATTTACCTGGAACAGTGCCTTTTTTCACATCTCAATAGGCCATGGGTTGGAAACCACCTACCATGTGCTGCACACATGTCATTGAGTCATTCTGACAACTTAAAAAGCCAGGTAGTGTTTATTCCCTTTTGGTACGATGGAAAGTGAGGTTTAGAGAAGTTATCTCATTGGCCAGTGATCACACAGGTCATTGGTAACAGAACTGGAGATCTAATTCATGCTTCCCAAGCTTCTTTACATTATACTGGGATAGATAGCAGAATTGTGTTTAAGGCAATGGGTGCAGCTCGGTGTTGCCCTCCAAGGGGAAACTAGAAGGCATTTTTTTAGATTGTTGTAATGATTGGAGCTAACAACTTGCGTTTGTTGAGTGGAGGCTAGAGAGTTGTGGGACAGTGCTGAACAAAGTCTCCCCATGTCCTGCATGATTTAAGAATATCTTGCTTGACATTCATGTAATATTTGTAATTATCAAAGCCTGGAACCTCCGTCTTACATCATGATTTTAACTGAATTTTCCAGTGTCTTTGTTTCCACATGTAGCCGTTATGTGAACTGAAGGAAGATTGTTTTGTTCACAACTTGACTAAGAGTTGTTTACAGTTTTGGAAAATTGTATCACAAATAGCTCTGCATTCATAGATATATTCAGCTACTAGTTACTTCTTTAAGTCTTCTAGTGTAGTTTTGCCCCACATCGAAATATATGTTATTATAAATCATTTTCATTTCTCTTTTCCATTCTTATTTAGGGTATATGGATTTGTTTGAAATTGTAGGAATATTGTTATTTTATTTCAGGGTGGTAAAGCAGAAGTTGGAAAATATTTTATGCAGGGGGCACATTGAGTCTGATATGGTTGAGAATTGTTTATCTAAAGTAAGACTTCATCTGCGGAGAGTCTCTCATGAAAAGTGCCCAGATTTTAGTGGAGTGTGTTTGTAATTTCTGTGTATTGGACTGTGACTCAGATACACAGAAATCTGCTAAATTTATTAGCAGATAGTTGAGATCTGCTAAGAAATAAGTGGCCGTTAAACGCTGGTTGCGGTGGCTCATGCCTGTAATCCCAGCACTTTGGGAGCCAACAAGGGCAGATCACTTGGGGCCAAGAGTTTGAGGCCAGCCTGGCCAATGTGGCAAGACCTCATCTCTACTAAAAATACAAAAATTAGCTGGACATGGTGGTGCACACCTGTAATCCCAGCTACTCGGCAGACTGAGGCGGGAGAATCACCTGAACCCGGGAGGTGGAGGTTGCATTGAGCTGAGATTGCACCACTGCACTCCAGCTTGGGTGACAGAGTAAGACTCTGTCTGAAAAAAAAAAAAGTGGCCATTAGTACTTCACTGTATAAGATAAGGTGCTGGGGCACTGGGAGAAAAGGAAATATAGTACCTTCTGCCTAGAAGCTTTTATACTGTGGGTTCTTGGCGTGCTTGAAATCATTTCTTATATAGAAGATATTTCTTTAAGTACTGAACTTGATTTTGATTTTATACATATATCACTAATAGTTGTACATTGTGCTATATAAAGCACATCCTTCATTGTGTTCTACAAAGACACTTTTCTCCTCTGAGGAAGGCAGTGTATTTAGGGCAAAGGACATTCTCACAGGAGACCTAGTTCTACTACCAGTAATGTGATGTTTGGTAAATCACACTGTACGTTTCCTGTTGAATATGGGGATGATACTGTTACGAAGATCAAACGTAAGGGGTTTTAAAACCTAAGGGTAATTAGACTGTTAAAAGCATTGTTTTCTTTTTTTAAATATTAGTTTTCCTAGGAGATATGTGGAATGTGCATCTACTGCATGTTAAAGGAGTTCATTTATTAGCAGAGCAGCAGAGAGTAGGAAAGTACCTAGGAGAGCAGGTAGTGAGAGCAGAATTAGAGGGTACAAAGATAGTATCTGATCCTTGTAATTATTAATGAGAATGCTAATGAGACTGAATACTAGGTCACCTTCCCATTTCTATTGGGAGAGAGTTTTCAGTAGCTAAAAAGTACATTTATTTGGAGAAAGGCTAAAATTACTAAATGAGTCTGTCTTTCATAGTTGTTCAGAAAATAGTGGGAGAGAGAGAGGATCTTAAGAATACTGACCTCACAGAAGAAAGCTGTTCTTTTTCTATCTGCTGCTAGGTGAATACCTCTTTTCTCTCAGGCAGTCTGCTTATGGAATTATGGTTACAACAGAGGTTAAGTTTGACTTTAGAGATTGAAATTGAATGATAAGGAAATGATGTTGAAAATACAATGATCAGATAGCAATAGAATAAAAAGATTAGGTTCTGATTAAGTATTCACTGTAGGTATTGGTAGAAAAAGATGGTGACTAGCTGACAACACAAAAAGTAAAATACATCTGTGATGGCTGGATCTGGGAAACATACACAGTGAGAAATTGACCTTATCTGAGATTCTTATACATTTCCAGTAGCAGCCTTAATATAACAACTAAGGATTTAGACAGAAGCTTTTGTTTTCCCTTCATGGTAAAATATGGTTTTGTGTTTGACCATGTTAAGTGGCAGAGAAACATCTAGTTTAAGACAGTTGAGGTACTTTTACTATTTATTTAAAATAGAATAGATTAAATCAGGATTTTAAGCTCTAG